GTGTGGGGTTTGGGCGGTTGATGGATTGGATGTGATTGAGAAAGCTGTGGATCCTGCTTGAATTGTGCTTCGTTGGAATTGGCTTCACTTCAAATTCATATATTTTGAGCTGCTTTTTACGATCTAGGTATTCAGCTTGAGGATCTAATCTAATATAATCTCCCTTGGTTTTGGCCTAGGGGATCGATTGGCTGGCTGTAGTGAGATTTGATTTGGGGGTTTTCCCCCTGTGATGGAGGATTAATAGTGATCTTTCTGTGATGCTCAGTTGAAATTGAAGATGAACAAATTAGGGGTTCTATTCGTTGACCAGAGGAAAGCTCTGCTACTTGTGGTACTATTGGATCAAAGTTTTTTGCTTATCTGTATGTGGTGTTTTATTTCAATTCAAGGCTAAAGAAATTAGTGGCATCATCAAAGATTCGATGAGACTGGTACTCTTGCATCCACTGGGTTGTACCGTGGAGGGGATGAGTTCACATCCTTAAGCCTCTATACTTAAGAAGTTCCTTAAGTTAATATGGGCCATTAGATCAATCTTAAGTAGTTAGTGGGTAGTTAGCCGTTTTAGGTAGTTAAGGGTAGGGATGACATTACAATTTTAATTTAATTCATTATTGTTGTATTTATTTATACTGACCCCATGTATTACGTTGGTTAAACTATTGTAGGGTTTCTTTATACTGTTCTCTAGGTTTTTCTGTTTCCACAAGTTCTGCGGCTCCGGCGACGTTGACAACAACTCTGTCTTTCTAGTGCATGGATACATTCGATCGTCCGTCGGTTTCTGGTGCACCAGCTCCTCCCTATTTAGCATCTCGGAGCTTCCATCGGTGGAGTGATGCACATGCGATCCTTCCTGCTTCTCCATCACCTGCAGCGTCGCGAATCTCGTCCATCCCGCAGCTTCGAACTCCTTCCTTCCGTTGGTTGCAGCACCGTGAATCTCGTTAAATCCGCAGCTTGGCGATGTCTTACATCCATCATTTCAGCGTTGCAAATCTCGTCGGGAGGAGCAACTTAACGTCGTCGTTGAAGCTTCCTTCGGAATCTTCCCTTTCTTGTGTTTTTGCTTAATAGAGTATGCATCGTGGATGTGGTTGTTAACCTAATCTGATCGATCTATTTATTAACGTTTTTTGAAGTAATGGTAAATTATCTTCCTATGGTTGTTAAAGGTTTTCAATTGTGTTATTGCCTTTTTTGTGGTGATTATTAACATTTCATTACTGATTCTTAACCATTCCTAGTCGATTGTTAATGTATTTACGTACGTTGAAAAGGATTTGACTATAGGCAACAAGCATCGTTAACAATTTAGCTTTCCTTTTGAATGGTTTACAAGAACGTTGTTAACATTTTTATAGGAGTTATTAAAATGGCATACATTATGGTTATTACTTATTAATGTTTCCCTAATAATTAGTATTGTAATTTGTATAATTGTCAACAAGTGGATATAAGCGTATCAATGTTTGAGAAAAAATTATTAATAATATATAATATGACTGACGATAATTAGATTCGATCATTATCAAAGATTTTTCTTGCATTTTAAATGAAGCACAACTTACTTATAAATATTTATTTCCATCGTTATCAACATTTTGAGAAGATAGTTGCATTTTAAGTGTTTTGTATTGCTGTAATTAATGTTTTTAAGGTTGCTATTAATAAATTGTTATATGTTCATTATTAATAATTTTGCTTGCATTTTCATTGCAATGCCCATTCGTTATTAATGTTTTATCTTGTGGTTGTCAATGATTTTTTAAAGGTATATTATGATTAATGATGTCTCGTCATTTTTAAAGGTTTTTTTTTTTTAAAGGTAATTATATAACGTTCACACTTATCAACAATTAAATTATCATCATTCGTCGGTACGTTGTTGACAATCCAATATAACGTTATCAACCTTTATGCGACGAATCATCAACAATATATATAAATATTTTCAATGTTTTCCTGTATAATTTATGGTTGTTTATTGGATCATTATTAATGGTATCTCATCTTTTTTAATGAATGTCATAGAACACTAACAATCACCTTTTTTTAGATTATTAATATTTTACATTAAATTGTTAACTATGAAACATAACGTTATCAAAGCTCATGCATGTAGAATATTTATTTTTACGTAAAACGTATATCATTTATCAATGATCATCAATTATATTATTAACATTTTTTTACAACATTTATCATTGCAATTTAACGTTATCAACGTTTATCCGATGTATCATTAACAATATACGGTCATTATTACCGTTATCAACGTTTATGAGAGGTATCATTAACAATGTAATGTGAAGTTATCTACGTAAAATACGTATACTGTTATCAATGACCTTAATTAAATTATTAACTTTTTATACAACTGTTAACATTATAATTTAATGTTATCAACATTTATGCGAGGTGTCATTAACAATATGAGTTTTCCACAATAGTTTAGGATATTTGAAAAGTCATCGTTAACGATATCTCGTCTTTTTTCAAAAGTGTACAGATGCTAACCAATGGCATTAATAATGCTTCAGGTTCTAGTTAATAAGCTAAATGATTTTCATTAACAATGATGCAAATACTTGGTAAAATATACTAAACGTTTGTAACATGATAAATAATTTCAACCAAAATGTTAATAATCACTTCATGGACTAGTTAATACCCTAGACGATTCTCATTAACAATGATGAAACTACTTGTTAAAATATGCTAAACGTTTGTAACATAATCAACTTTTTCAACGACACTATTAATAATGACTTTAGGTACTAGTGAATAACCTAGACAATTTTCATTAATAATGATGAAATTACTATTACTAATGACTAATCAGCTCCATAACCATTACTAACCACACGTGAAAGAACGTTAATAATGGAGACAATTATGTTTTTTTTTTTTCGGGGACAAAGAGAAATGGTTGTTGCACGTACATGATAACTGAGTGGCGTGTTTGTAGGCAATTTAGCATTTTTCCAAAATTAAATAGAATTATTAATAGCATTAAATAATTAGAAAAACTTCCTCATTTACCCTTTTATTTAGTTACGGGTTAGTTGCATGCCTTTCATCTCTCTCCTCTCCCTATTGGCCAGCCAAGGCTTAAGGAACTCCTTAAGTTTTGGGCTTAAGGATGGGATCCAACCCGACCTTGGAGGCTCAAAGTACATAGTGATTCAAGGCGTGGCTGGAGCTGTCATTCGAGGGAAAAAGGTGAGGATGCATGAATTATGTGTAGCTTCTGAGCGACTCGACGATCTGAACGGTCCCCAACGAAGAGGAAATACCTCGCATCCGGTGGGCGGCGGCGGTGGGCAGGTGAAGATGATGGTTCAGCAGAGCAGGGAGCCGAATCCTAATCTGGCGAAGAGAGTGAAGAGAGTTGAGACCCGACTCAAGCTGGAGAAACAGTTGTGACAGCTCAGCAAGAGCAATAGTGTTAGTTTATTATTTTTATAATTTTTTGTTTTTTTAAATGACATGTCATTAAGTTAACTGTCTAGTCAGCAGTTTCGTTTGCCACGTCATCAAAAATTTAACGGAGTTAATGGAGTTTAACGGAGACTAACGGTCGGTGGCTAACGGCGAAACGATTCGTAAAGTTAGTGGCGAATAAGAAAGAAAAGTAATTCGGATGGTAAATGTGAAAGATTTATATAATTTGAGTGACCAAACGTGTAATTTAGCCAATTTATTGAGAACACTATATGATGATGGAGACATATTAAGGACACTATTGGCACTAGTCAAAGGTAATAGATGGTGGAGCTCCACTAACTACTGTCACGGACATGACTTACGAAACCCGTTCGGGTTCTTCAGACGTCAACACGGTCACGACATTCCGAATCGTGACACTACCTTTTGAAACTCTGCTTCTGAAGGTAGTTTAGGGAAGAAGACACCAAATTCTGGATAGTATTCGACAAATTTTCCTGTGGCATTACATTCCCCCCTGACTACTTCATGCTCCAATTGAAGTAGACAGACTAGTTGTCTTACACACCATCGTATCCAACAGTGAATCATCAGTATTCACAATTACTTCATTTTCAATAGTGATCAATAGAACTTGTATACTTTGCCCCTTACTCGCTTCCGCAATCTCAAACTCATTTTCAACTGTATTAGTCACTGGTTTTGGAATCCAGGTTTTTCCTCACTTTCCTAAACATCCACATTGTAATCCAAACACCTTCCATCCTGGACAAACCATAGGCAAATGTCAGCACTCGACACCAATTCTAAGAGAACCAAAGCACAAGACGATCCGTAAAATCACCTGCAGCTTTGAACTCAACTAAAACCCAAACGACCTTCCAAACGAGTTGTTTGATCCACCCCCAAAGGAATACCCACCCAACTTGCTAAACTACTCAATCTCTAGAAATTGACATACTCCAAGGGTGCGTTTGGATACAATGATTTGGATTTGGTATTTGTGATTTGGATTTCCAAATACCAAATCATGTGTTTGGATATTAATTACATTTGGTATTTGGATTTGTGTCAAATTCATGGGGTGATTTCCAAATACATGTCTAGTGTATTTTTTGTCAACTTCAAATACATTTCAACAACTAGTGATTTGAAATACCTCCTAACAAAAGAATGGACTTATTTGTAAAATATGAAAAGTTTAGGTACTATAGTGTGAGGCAAAACATATAAAGGTACCAAAATGTAATTTTACCATCAAAATTTGAGGACCTTTTTGTACAATTTTAAAAGTTTAGGTACTAAATTGTAAGAAAAAATAATTTTGGGTACCAAACTGTAATTTACCAAAATTTGTAGTAAGTGACCAGAAAATTAAAAATTTAAATTGAAAATCATAAAATACAAAATACAAACAAATTACAAATGAGTATCCAAACAATGAATTTGAATTATATGTATTTCAAATGCTAATATTTCGAATACATCCATTTCAAATGCTAATATTTCAAATACCTTACATTTAAAATCCACTTATCCAAACGCACCCAACTGTACATTTGACAGACGTAACCAGATCGGCAAAGCCTGCCCATTATCCTCAACACGAATCGTCGGCGTCCATGGCCTCGGATAAAACAAATTTTCAAAATAGAACCACAGATCACTTTCACCTTTGTAGAATCTAATCACACATCGCTTTAGATGGCAATTGTATCAGCAACAATCGATCACAGAGCAGGGAGTCACGAACTTGGCCACTGTCTAAGAGCAAAAATCAAAGGAGATATACGTAAGCCGGTTAGCTTCCGAAATCCCAAACAGCTTGGCCCCAAGGTTTGATGTTTCACAGGAACACCTTGCACGTCATTAGAGCCGGATAGGAAATCTATTGCTGGAGCAACCATCGTTGAAGAAGAGATACTCATCATAACATAATTGAGGAGGAAAAGAGGTGTGGCCGTCGCAGATGCCGACGCCAACAGCTCAGCCTGAAGGCTGGAAACTCAACTAACCAGAGAGAAAATTACGTTTGAGAAAATCAAAGAATAAAACAAATACACCCTCGGTGTTTTAGATCAAACCGTTAACTACCCATATGCAAACTAGAGTGCAACAGATATGGAGTAGCAGCTAATAAGTAATATGTAAGTGGGCAGTGCAGTGTGCTCAACTCAAAACGAGAGGAGAAAGCGACCCGCCAAAATCAAATTCTGTAATCCATATTTGTTAACTACATACAAGTCAAATGCATTCGTTGCCAACAGGTTCAAGTACACACCAAGGAAAACATGCAAGACCCTCTTTCGTCGTCGTAATATGTGACTCGACTCTATGCATATACATCTTTCCGTATCTTTAATGATGTCTTGCAAACTCATTCGTCCTGTGGATGCTAAATGGGTTCTATCATCTGTGTTAAGGCAGACAATCGAAGGACAAAGAAAGCCAGCAGAGGAAGACCAAGAGAGCTGCCAATTCAACCTCTCCAGGAGATGAAGAAATACAAGATGATGATAGTAACGCCCATACCAACATACTTGATCCACGTATCCACTCGGTTCCGTCTTTCAATCAGCCTCAACACAGAGTTTGAGAGCCCTACCGTGTTCAGCACATCCAAAGCTTTCCGTTGTGCCCTCTGCCAATCACAGTTCACCAAGCAATCAGAGACCGGTAGACGTATGAAGAACATTTATGGCATTGGAATACTAAAAATTTCTCATATGTGATGAAGACCGTCGATCATAGTTAACTAAAACAATAGCCCAGCACAAGCTACACCTCGGCAAAACTCGCTTGATAGCAGAAACAAGTTAGAGCAGGCAGCATCTTTTTAAAGAGCCTTTTAATATGCCAAGAAATTCATAAGCTCTTCTACTTGTATAAGGATAAACTCAAAGGGGTCATTTGGACGTGAAAACAAAGTGATAGAATTGGCTTAAATTTCCCTACTGAAGAAATTCGGAGACTCATCACTTAGGGTAACCAAAAACGGATCTCAAATTGATGGAGCTGGGATATCTCCAAGCCCCAACTTTCTCCGTGGAAGATAAGATTTGTCTATTCCATCAATTTAATAACTTAAGGGACCCATATTTTACAGTTTACTTCTCTCAAATAGTCCATCCAAACAACATCATTTTCAAAATCCATCATGTGTTGATACCAATATTTGAATATCCCCACACCTAAATAACCTCCAAGAGAAACTGAACACCAATAGTTTCATAATCCTTTGCCTTAGATGCAACTTATGAGAATCTGAAAATTGAAGCACCTAGTTTTCCCATTGTTCAACTTTTTCTAAGCTTCTGAGAACTTATCCCAACGTTACAAGGCTCATTCACACAGTCACAATTCAAGCAATAGACAAGACATTTGATCAAATTTTGTAGCGCAGATTAACACAGAAAAGAACTGCCTAGTGCAGCAGTATGAAGACCTACTATTTTACCCAAACACAACACTGTCATTACCTTCAAGCGTTCTCTTTGTTCTGAATATTTTGTAAGGATAGCTGATCCTGTGGACAAAGAATCTTCCAGCATCCGTTTAGAGTTTTGGACTGATTGCATTGCTTGTGCTTCCTCATCAAATATTCTCAACACATGAGAAGACTCCCCGTTCTGGAAATGTGTGAACAACTTTGATCAGATGGTGCATTTTCTACCAATAACCTCAAAAAGAAACAAAACATCAACCCATATTGAGCATGCTAGAATTTGTATAAAACTGGGTACCGCTCTCCCAAGCAATTCTGCTCTTTCTTGTGCCTCCTTCATTCGTCTTTGATTCCTCGCAAAGTATCTATCCAGGCTTTCTTTCAATGATTCAGCTTCTTCTGCTACTTGTTCCACCTTTCTGTGATAGATGACATTAATTCGGACAATCAAACTTGCAGCAATGAAAGAGAGATTGGAACATCTCGACGATATATTTATTTTATGAGGGTCATAGTATCATAACCAGGACGCAGTAACCAAAAAACATATAAACCCAGAAGTTAACTTTTCATCGCAATTCTCAAGGATTGGGACTAGACGCTAATCAACTCATTTCAATCATTTACTAGCTCTTGAACTGTGCAAAACTAAAAATTGGAAGCTCGAGCAACCAAGACAATTTCAAGGAATCCAGACTCACAGTTTAGGGTTTTAATTTCTACAACAAGGTTGGGAATGAGAATCAACGACGTAGGTTCGAATTTGCAGATCCAATTGCGGACGAAGATGATGAAACTAAAAGTGATAAGTAGAAAATTCGATTGGCGAATACCTTTTCCATAGATCGCGTTGAGGTTTGGAAGCTATAGAGCGCCAGAGACGATCCATCTCGGCGCAGAGGGATTGGATCTGAGAGATATCTTTCTTGACGGCGAAGGAAAGCTCGGGAGAATCCAAACCTCCATTAGAGGTAGAGCTCTCGAGCCGCTCCACTCTCTCGATCCCGTCTCGAGCTTTCAGTAGCAGTTTCTTCGCGCTCTGGTAGATCTCCGACAATGTCCCTCCACCTCCTCCTTCAATCGTCATCGCCATACCCCCAACTCGACCCTGCGCTCGACTTCCGGAAACCCTTCCGCCGCTTCCGACCGAATTAACGGAAATTGGAGATTTCTTGCTCTACTCAGGCGAGAGCGAGGAGCAGCTAGTCGGAGAAGCAAACGGCGAGCTTGAAATTATTTTCTCCTGAACAATTGTGCTTTGTTTCTTCGTTTCCGTTTCTTTCGTAAATAATCTCGCAATTGGACGGAGCCCGCCAGCTCTACACACCGCACTCCTCGTAGCCGACGGACTAGTATTTAGTAGGCCACATCACTGGACCAATAACGTCATGCCATATGTAAGATCCAAGGGTAGTTAGGTACTTGAGCGATAATAGTCAATTGGTCATACTTAGTACTATAGGTATAGGTGTCAAAACATGGCCCAACCCGAGTAACTCACCCAATCAATTCGATCCGCAACCCGCCCGACCCACAATTCGATTGACCCGCAACCCGCTTGACCCGCAACCCAATTAATTCGAACCTGATTAACCCAACCCAAATTCGCCCGATTGGCACAAATAATACTACATACATTATTTTAATTGCATAAATATTATATGCAACACTTTTTATAACACATAAGCAACACTTTTTTACCGTATTTGCATCATTTAAATTTCATTTGTTACAAATCCAAATAGTCACAAATTAAATGCATATTTTTCCACTATTTTCATTTATAACCTAATTTTTTTACGAAAAAGAGGATGAACTCCTCTGTTGCTTTTATTAATTGGCCAATTGCCTCAAATCATTCTACAAACGAGCAATAATAAACATAGTGGGTGTTCCTAACCAGTAATTACAGGGGGAATAATTGACAGGTCGGTGTGCCAGACTATGGGCCACTGAATTTGCTTCTCTTAGCACGTATTCATCCTCTGCAATCGTCACTCTCTCGCCTTCACGAATGGCTTTACAAATAGTTCCAAACTCGGATAGATCCTCTACCTGGGACTTCATCCTTTTAATCACGCTTAGACAATCAGATTCTATCATTTATGGGCCCAAGCGATGCTCTTTCATACACTCGACTGCAAACACACTGCTCTTCCCTCTGCAATTGTAGGTTCCCAACACTCGTCTTCTTGGAGGACCCTGCAAAGACAACTTCCCAGCTTCATCATGAATCACGATTCCCAAACTTGTACCGTCATTATCTCGACACCCTGCATCATTTATAACATGATAATCAATACAACTATGGAGTCTTTTCGAATGTCCTTCATTCATCAACAATTATTAGTATTCAACTTTGGCTCAAGGTTCTGCCTTGGAGGTCTTCCTGGCTGGAATTCGAGGGAACATAATGCCATTAGGAGAAGCTATAGGCAACTCACCTCCAGCATCATTGATTCCCTCGAAAAATTGCACGCACGAATTGAAACCAGCAGCAAAGTCACCAGCAAAAGTCTAACTTCTACCTGCAAGAATTGAACCACAGTAGAGCATTACTCATAAAGGAAATGTTTCCGTTTGTCTCGTGGTGTTAGCAGAACACCAGAAGACTGCAATCAAGAAGGGTAAACTGGAGGAAACAACACCAGACTTTAACAAAATCTCATGTCTTGCCCACTCATTCAGTAGGAATAGAGCATCCAAAGCATATTAAATCCCCCTAACTCCCCCAATTCGAATTCAACATCCAACATGCATTATTTATCTTACTTTAACTCAAGGTTAAGGGTCATTGCCAGCTTCTAAGTTGCAGAACCTGAAACAAAAAAATACAAATTGCAAATAAAGTAACTTTTGAAGACTGGTTCAAGAGTGCCTCAATCAAATAATAACATTCTCATCAAGTTGTTCAAGCAAACATTCAGCGATCTTCTTCATCTCTGTTCTGCCTTTTATTAGATGAAGAGCACTTTAAGATCCACCCATATAAGTGAAATCATGGGTAAATAGCAAGAGATAAAGGAAATTCAAGAATGTCCTAACTTCCATCTAATAGATAGCTTTAGTCCAGAAGCTTCTGCTTGTACCCAGACCAATCGATATCTTAATTCTCCCTATTGAATTAAAGGGCCAAAGACCAACCCCCATTGCAACTTAATCATGTCGTAGGCTAGTATCTCTAGATTTATCATTGTAAATCTTGTTATAAGCTCTAAACAAAGTAGCCTCACTATCACAAAAGACAGAAAATGGTTGGCATCGGTTGTGGCCACAACTCTTTATCTAACAACATGTTTCTTAGCCATTCTGCCTCTTTTCTAGCCGCCGCAAGGGCTAGGAATTCAGCTTCCATTGTGGAGAGTGTGTAATACACGTTTGTTTCTTCGAAACCAAGAAACAACTTCACCACCTAGTGTAAAAAACTACTCGTTGTAGATTTATTATCACTAGCACTCGTTTTCCAACTAGCATAAAAAACATGTCCCCCGCAATTCGACCACTTGCCGAACTATCATGGAATAATTTCATTTAATTTTCCATGGTTTACTTATTGAACTTTCACAACCACCACATTGATCTAATTGTTTACCAATGGTATGGACTAATTGAATTATCATACCACAAATAATTCAGATATTGTTAGAAATATCATCTAATTACTTACCAATGGAATTGGTCAAGGTAACTTGAGATGCCACAAGTAATTCAGTTGCATTTCCATATTGTATTGGAAATACCATCTAATTACTTACCAATGACTTTTCATCAAGGTAACTTGACATACCACAAGCAATTCAAATGAATATTCTAAGTCAATGATCTAATTACTTACCAATAATATACACTTCATAAGTATATCATAAGTAATTCGGACTTTAATTTCAATAAGATCATCTCAATTGAGCTCTCATGCCAAATTGTTTTTCGATGTTATATACCATAAACAATTCTGACCAATAGCTTCACACAATAGTCATACGTCAAATTTTTTTCCAATGGTATAGTGTACATATACCATAAACAATTTTGGCGATGATTATTTTTATGATCACCATTCTTTGACAAGCTTATTCAATATCTATAAGGATCCATCTTACTTCATTTTCCTTGCCCTCATGGCATCGAAATCATGAAGTCATAAACCACATACATGATAAACAAATTATCATGTCGGGGAAGCGCTTTTCATCATTATTTCGATTTATATCAAGATTACAAAACAATTTTGTTACACAAACCAAATTGTTCCATCTTGCAGGCATCAAAATTGAAACTCATACAAATTTTGGTGACGAAATTTGTTTCAAGAATTCAACTTGAATTCTTCCAAATTCAAACACAATTGAATTTTTTTAACTCTTCTCATAAGCAATAACTTGAATTATGAGTTCGTTCCATCTCAAATACTACAAAAGTATTTGATATCATTAACCAAATCGAATTGGTTAACTTTTTTTCTTTGCAATCACATGTTACACCAAGAACATGAAAATTACAAAACCATGTACGTATAAAGAGGCATTATAAAAATAACCAATTTCTGTACATGATCCTTTCTTGACAAAATATAAACTAACACAAAGTAATATTCTAAAACTGATCTTAGCATGCACAACTATCGGCTGCTTTCATTGCACCGTTAATCCATGCATATGTGCAATCAAACTGATGACGAAAAGTTCCACCAAAAACCATAGGTTTTATACACTTATATAGTCAAAACTTTCAAGATTGTGCCAATAATAGCCAAATTTGAAGAAATGCCATTTATAGCCAGAATTTTGAAAGTTTCATGACAAACATAGCCAATTGTGGGAAACACATTATTTACAGTATTTTGTTAGTTCGGATTATTGTCGGTTTTTATGATTTAGGGTATTATTTGGGGTATTCGGGAATAAACAGGGAGTTGAATGTTATGTTTAATGAGTTGGGTAGTCATTGGGAATTAGGCAGACTATTTAATCTGCACTAGGGTATTGTTTTTCATTAAGCAGAAAGTAATAAAATTCCTAAACCTAAACTCTCTCTCTCTTTCTCCTCTCACCAGCGCCGATCCCTCCCTTCTTCTTTCCTCAAAGCTGCGGCAGCAGCACCCCCAATTCCCCCTCTTCTGTTCCCAAATTCCCAATTCCCAATCCCTAGTTAGATCAATCCCTAATTGATCTAGCTAAATTCCCCAATCCCCATTCTGTAGGAGACCTTGTTTCCTACACCAATTCCGTTACACCATTAATTATTTTAATAGTAAGTTTACTAGGCTGCCAACTCACCGGACACGTCAACGACAACTCACCATTCGATGACAAATGGATGCCATATCATTTTTAATTAAAATAAAATTTTAAACAAAAACAAAACAAAACAAAACAAGATCCTCAATTCCACTGCAACCTCCGCCATCCCCAATTCCATCAATATCTTTCACAACCCACCCGTCGCCGATACTTTCACAACCCACCCATCTCTGCCCTCTACCCTCTGCTCCCATTTTCTCATCCTTCATCCCCTTCTCACCTCCATCAAAACCTAGAAAATAATCAGAACACCCAACCCGGAATCATACATAAACCCTAAAAATAACTTCAAATGCAAACCGATAGGAGGCGTTTCCTTAGCTTCGACGTCGTCGCTGATTCCACCGCTGCCATCATATCTGCTACCGCCACCATCGTCGTCTTTGCCGTCGATGACCATCGTCGCAATCACCTGAAGTTGTCCTCTAGCCCCTTTCCTTTCTCCTCGTTGTTAACCAGAAAGTAGGGGGGAAGATGTTAGATTGGAAGGAGATCGGAAAAGGGAAAGGAGACTAGAGGCAGATCGAGACGGGAAGAGGGGTAATCGATTTGGGAATGTAACGGAATTGAAGAAGCAAAGTTGTAGGTTGTCATCAATCGGCAATGGCGGGATGAGATCTGGGTATTGAGATATGTTAAAGCCAATTGAGATATGGGTATTGTTGCTATTAAGTTTGACAAAGGAGGATGATGATGAATGCATGGTGAGGGAAAATCAATCATGGAGCAAGGCGAAGAATAAGAAGAAGTTATGTTTAGTTTTTAGTTTTTGAGGAAAAAGATAACGATGGAAGACGGCGATGGAAATGAGATGGCTGTGGAGGTGGGGAGTAAGGCAGATAGATGATAAGTTAGGAGTGAGAGATGATTTTTTTTTTGTTTGTGAGTGCTTGCCACATCAGCACCATCGTTTGTCCAGTCAGACTTCACGTTGATACCGTTAAAGAATGTGATGGAATTGGCTATAAGTGGCATTTCACCAAATTTGACTATTATTAGCACAACCGTGATAGTTTTGTCTATACAAGTGTATAAAACCAAAATCATATTAATCATGGGTCTCAGGTAGGGCCGCAAACGAGCCGAGTCGAGTCGAGTTTTTGCTTAGCTTGAGCTCGGCTCGTTTATAAATTTTTCAGCTCGATCTCGGCTCGCTCTCGAATTTTGATCATCCAGCTCGAGCTCAACTCGATTAAAAATAATACAGCTCGAGCTCGGCTCGATAGAGCTCGATAAATGCTCATTAACACAGCTTGTCAAGCTGAGTACAAGCTCGGCTCAAGATGAGCTCGATAAATGCTCATTAACACAGCTTGTCAAGCTGAGTACAAGCTCGGCTCAAGATGAGCTCGATAAATGCTCATTAACACAGCTTGTCAAGCTGAGTACAAGCTCGGCTCAAGATGAGCTCGATTTGAAACCATTCTTTGATGAAAAATGTGTACAAACAAGAACATTAGAAACTAAAAATGATAAAAAGAACACTAGAAACTAAAAATAACATCTAACTTCCATACACATCCTTATTAACAAGATAATTTTCATGTTCAATAGAGTAACTAATCCTTCAACAAGCTCTAAACAAGCCAGCTCGCGAGCTTAGCTCAACAAGTCACCGAGTCAAACTAGCTCACGAGCTTATCAAGCTGAGCATGGTCTAGCTCAAGCTTGGCTCGTTTATTATCGAGTCGGCTTGTTAAACAACGAGTCGAGTGGCTTGTTAAACAACGAGTCGAGTATGAAACGAGTTTTTTTCGATTCGAACACCGAGTTGCTCGCGAGCGGCTTGACTCATTTGCAGCCCTAGTCTCAGGTTTGTCACTATTAGAAACTAACATGATCCATGCGTGGAGAATTACCACTGATTAATTAATCATGGAAAAACACAATGCTATGGGCAGTTACAATTAACCGAACCATTGCCATTACATATGTTAAACTTTCTTTCTCTCGAATCACATCAACACACAACCACATATATAGAAAATATATATGGTGTGTATATATGCAAGCATGAATCAGATTCACGAACATAATCATTCGACACATATATGTATAAAGTTAGAAAGAGGAAAATAAAATACCTTTCTGGTGCATAATGTTGGTCGAAGTGCCAACACGGGAAATCCAAAGATTGCAATCAAGATCAAGTTACCGTTTTAACGAGGCTTGAAATGGAAGCAGCCAGTAAAGGAAAGTTGGTCAAATCAGGAAAGGCATTATTTTAGCAACTAATTTCACCTTCCTTATGAAGAAGAGCAGCAAAGACTAGTGTTTCAAGGCTATATATATTCAGCTTGTTGTCAGCTTGTGAAGCAACTTTGTACGAAAAAGATATTGGTAGAGGGCTAGGCTTTGGGATTACAAAGGGTTTGACGAGTATAGAGGCATAGATTCTATGTCGTCAAGGTTGTGGCGGGTCTGGACTGGGATCCGGGTTCTTTCTATCGTTCTTATTATTTGCGTTCTTCTTTTGAAACCGTTTGATAGGTATAATCAATAAAAAGAGTTTCCTAGAAATCAGTGGTTCTGATTCTAGGACGTGGACTGACCCGTAGTTTGGGTAACCTCGTTAAAGATCCTTGTGTTCTCTTCTGTTTTTCCGTTGTGTTAAAATCTCTGTGTTGTCTCTTTACTTGCTGCTGTATCTTGTTCATTTGCCTTCTGCACTCTGTTTTCTGGGTTTGATTTAGGAAACAAGGAACTGATGCTATTGAGTTCATATTTAGAACTCGTGTGGGCTTAGCAGAACCTTGGTTCTGGACCAAATCCATTTTCTTTTAAGTGGTCCTTTTGGGGTTGGGCTAAAGTCTTTGAGCCAATTTAATTTTAAACGAAGACCACAAAAAGAACTTGTTTCCTTCTTCATTCGATCGTCTTTTTCCTCTGTGTGTCTTCTTCAATTTGAAAAACAAAATCCCCAAATCTTAAGTTTTGAATCCCTAGTTCTTCCTGCCCAAATCGTATTTCACATAATATCATAGCAACCGAGTTCTTCCATTCTTTCACTGGATGACTAAACGTCGCCCCAACTTTATCATTATCGGCCTAACTTAAAACACAAAGTTATTAAATTAACCTTAATAAACAAAAAAAAAAAAAAACAACTCCCGATCCTTTCCGTAATCTTCTTCATCTTCTTCCGACGAGAGTGATGTCGCCCCACCACCTGCTCCAAACTACCTTCGTCGTCGGAAACCCGTAGTGCACTCCAAATCACCTTCCCCGTCAAAACCCTACAATTCAAAAGTCCCTACGACGCCGACCGAAAGCACTCCAAACGGCCCTCCCCTGTTTCATGAGCATACAAAAGTTGACAGCTACTTTTGTTAGAGTGACACCACTCTTAATGCTCACGTAGGTGACATTCCAAATGAATTCATTAAGAGTTATATAACTCATCTCAAGAGTTTTATAACTCACCTTTCTTTGAACTAATTTACTTGTGCAATAAATTAGTACCTTAGTTAGAGTAACTTGTTATGACCACATTGAACCTTTTAATTAGTGCAATAAATTAGTACCTTAGTTAGAGTAACTTGTTATTACCACATTCACAATTATCCCGCCCAAAACCAAATAACCCCCGCCACTTAGCCTATTCGGTTCCCGAATGAACCCCTATCAAATCTCAATTCCCCACATTAATTACAATTGGCTAATCCCTCTCCTTTTCTTTAACTCCCAACGTGGCCCACATTGGGCCATAAAAGTGTCTTTTGGCCTTGGTCCTTAACTCTGGTTTGGTTTGATTTAGATTTTTACGTACATAATCGTCGGTCCAATCGTTCATTTTTAGGGTCGAACTTGAACTCAAATGTCGGGGTGTTAGAGTAACAAATATAAGTTGAGGTACCAGGGAAAGAAGATTGTGCTGAAGCCCATGGCGCCTCAAGCTGTTCGTTCGATGAGCACTAGTCAATGTAAGAAGCCTAATCTGATAGCTTTTGCTAGTCAATGAAAAATTAAGCATGCTATCAATGATGGCGAATGTGTAAACATACTAGTGGCTAAGGAGACACGAGATGAAGTGGGCTGGCATAAGGAGTCCATTGAGGAGCTACTATGTGACTATGATGATATCTTTCCCGATGATCTGCCTGCGGGGTTACCTCGTATTCAAGGGATCGAACACCAAATCGATCTTATACTAGGTGTGTCTCTTTCTAATAAGGCTATATATAGGTGTAATTCCGAGGAAACGAAATAGTTGCAAAGGCAAATTGAGGAACTAATAAGAAGGGGTTGTGTATGAAAGAGTTTGATCCCTTGTGCGGATCCAACATTACCCGTGCCAACTGCCAAATAAGGATGAAACGTGGAGGATGTGTATTGATAGTAGATCTTTCAATAACATAACCATCAAGTATTAATTTCAAATCCTGAGACTGGATTATATGTTGAATGAACTCCATGGAGCTGTGATTTTTATGATCGATTTATGAAGCGGATACCATAAGATTCGGATGAGAGAAGGTGATGAATAGAATGGCATTTAAAACAAAACATGTGCTATATGAGTGGATCGTGATGCCATTTGGGCTTACGAATGCCTGAAGCACTTTTATGATACTGATAAATGAAGTACATAAACCTTTATGGGGCAGATTCATGGTGGTATATTTGTATGACATCTTGGTACATGGAAGGAATTTGGAGGAACATCTTGACCACCTCCGACAAGTGTTCGAGACTAGCCAAAAGCTTTATGGGAAAAAGGAGAAGTATGCATTCCTGGTTGAGAGCGTAGTATTCCTTGGCTATATTTTCTCCAAAGAAGGGGTATTGGTTGATCAAACCAAGATCCATGCTATTAAATCTTGGTCGGTGCCTAAAACAGTAAGTGACGTTTGATCATTCCATGGTTTGGCTTCATTTCATTGAAGGTTTATCCATGAATTTTGCACTATCACAAGTTCAATAACGGAGTGTTTGAATAAGGGCTCGTTCGTTTGGAGTGAGGCTCAACATGCATTCAAATTGATCAAAACAAAGTTGTGTGAAGTGCCTATCTTGGCACTACCTGATCTTACACAACCGTTTGAAGTCCACTGTGACGCTAACAGTGTTGGAATTGCGAGCTTGATTGCTTCGCAGCGACATTCGTTACAGTTCCTGCTCGTTTCTTGGTTTGTCTTTTCGATGGGATTCTAGTTCATACATCTTGCCTGATCGCGCCGGAGTGGACCAGATGGGGTCCGACCCCACAATGAATGTATAAGTCGTGGTGGCAAAGGTATCAATGTTAGATTTGGGTATGCGTGTAAGGAAAACGGAGACGATTGGAGAAGATGAAGGACAAGAAATTGAATCAATGGATTGCAGAGCAGAAATGGAGAGGGAGGACAATAATGGTGTTAATTTTATACGTCTTGGAGGAGAAATGGATTGCAGAGCATA